ATATTGATTTGTCTTACAATAGTTATTTGGAGAAATTACCTGACACTATTTGTGGTTTGTACAATTTGTCTACCTTGCGCCTTATGATGTGCTCTGAACTTAAAAAACTGCCTGAAAACATGGGAAACTTGATTAACTTAAAGCATCTTTATGTTGACTGGTGTGAAGATCTGAAGTCGTTGCCGAAAGGAATAGGGAGATTAACAAGTTTGCGAATACTAGATGCGTGTCGGTGTGGGGGCGACAACGATGAAGCATTCCAAATTGGGGATCTGAGAAACTTGAACCTTGAGGGAAGTCTGGAAATACAACTTGTGGGGGATGCGACAAATAAGAGCGAGGTTGAGAAAGCACAATTGTGGGACAAAAAGCTATTTCATCTCGCTGTTGCTTTTGAATGGCAGACGAACAGTAATAGTAGTAGTGTAGAAATACTGAATGCCTTACGACCGCACCCAGATTTGGACTCTTTCATTATTCGGTGTTATAATGGCACCACGTGGCCCAATTGGATGCAGTCTTTACACAATTTGAGATTCCTTAATGTTGCTCGGGGGACACAGTCTGAGCTTTGGCCTCTTGGGAAATTGGAGTTCCTTGAAACACTGAGCATATGGTCGATGGAGGGAGTGAGAAAGGTCGGTGTTGAATTTTTGGGATTAGAAGATCAAACCTCATTCAGAATCAGATCACCACCCCTGATATTTTTCCCAAAATTGAAACGACTCTGCTTTGACATGATGCGGAATTGGGAAGAGTGGGAAGGCGTTGAAGAGTGGACGAAAGAGGATTCTGAAATTACAATCATGCCATGCCTTTCTAAGTTAGAAATGAAATGGTGCCCTTTACTAAAAGCACTGCCAGACTTCCTCTTTAAAACACCACTGCAGACTCTTCGCATCACTGGATCTGAGAGACTTTTAGAGCGTTACGAAGAAGGCAATGGAGAGTGGGCCAAGATTTCTGCTACGAACCCAAACATCCGCATTATCAGGTAATTGAGCTCTAGCAATCTCTTAATTATTTACATACATATGTATCAATTCCAAGTATCATCATATTTGTTTCCTTCAAAATCTTCAGGGGATGGTGAATCGCTAGGCACATTTATGAAAACATCTGTCTCCGTAGCATATAATCTTGAGATGGTGACTCATACTCTGAGGAACTACCTACTTTAGTAGGTCTAGATTGATTAATTTCTGTTGAATTCCTTTCGTTACTGGGCTTGGGCCCCCATTTATCCCCCAAAAAAAAGGTGCTTTGATGTTTGTTTTGTTAAATCTCTGGAGTTAATTTTCAATTAGCTAGTATTAATAAATTCATTTACTTATTATGCCACACGAGGTTTCTTGTTTTGTTTAATCTGCATGCTTTAGTTGTTTCTCAAAAAATTTAATTCCCGAATTGAAAAATGTCTAGGAGAAATGATCGCAAGAAGCAAATTAATTGATCAACTATGCATGTGTCATCATTTCAGAAACTTCTGGAGCAAACAGAGTGATGTAAACCATCAAAAGTCAGCCTACGGAAGTTCCAATAACTGAAATTTTGATTATTTTCACCACTGCCTTGAGAACTACTTGACAGAGACATGGTGAATTTGGAAGGTCTACTGAGCTTGATGATTGCCTGATTTTTTTGTTTTGTAAGCAGAAACTTTGTGAACACCTTATATTTAACTATTCTACTGGTGTATTGATCATTTGCAAAACTTCCTTTGTGTCATTAATTCGTAAAATGTACTCTGAGGAACTGGTGAATTTACCTTGGCTTTCTCTTGTTTTATTGTGTATCAGTTCCCAGTTTTTGCTGTTCCTCTAGAAGGTGTGTTTTGTTTGTCTTGGGTAACTTTGATTTGGCATGTGTTCTTAAGCTAGAAAAGTCGTTAATATCGTTAACCTTGCCTTCAAGTTCAACAACTAATTCATAGAAGAAGAGGTAATTTGTTTTGAACGTGAAGAAAGAAGTTGAACAATTCGTTGGCAATCTCAAAGCTATTCAAGCTGCGCGCGCTTGAGGATGCAGAGCAAATGCAAGCAACGAAGGCCAGTGTATACATCTTATTGCAACTTGAAATTAAGGTCTGAATGATGGGTTAACTGTGATTTATGAGGAAAGAAAAAAGTATCAGTTGTTGAATTTTAGTTTTTAGTTTTCATTTTTTATGCTGGAGTATAGAGGAAAATGAGAGCGAGAATGGAAGTGAGGATGAGATTGAGAGAGAGGATGGGAAGGAGGAGTAACAAATGGGCCCTAATCTACTGTGAGAAACATATCTTTCATTCATCTAAGACCTATTTTGATGAAAAACAACGTATGAATGATGAGAAAAATCTTAAGCATGAAACAGAACAAAGGTCAGCGCTGATACTGTATCGCGAACAAAATTGTGCGGCGGATGTATATGAGCTTGCTCCCCTGGTATGCATGTATTTGATGTGGCGCCTTGTCCATTCTCCTCATATTTTAGCTGCTGATGCCATTATATTTTAGCTCCTGGTCCACATATGATCTAGCACCTGATAAACATATCTGCATTGATCTAAGACCTTAATTTAATACCACAAACAGAATTTAATCGTACTCCCTCTCCTGCTTTATTGCCGTGCCAAGGGGGCTAGTGACCAGTAAACAAAGGCGCCTTTACCCTGGTAGCCGGATCCATGAAACAAGACACGGGGTCCCGGTGTAATTGGGGTTGTTAGGATACATTGGAGACTTGTTTTGCTGGAGCAGTTGACTTGGAGTTTTCCTTGACGACTTACTCACTATAGAAATTGGGTAGAATAAGGGTAATAATAGCACGAATTAATCTCCAAATCATTGAATACCACTCACCTTAAAAATCTATCAAACAGAATTAACAAAACGAATATAAGTCAAAGAAAATATATTTTAAAACCAAAGCTTTTGCTATATCGTAGATTCCATCATGCCAGATCATAGTTTCCATTGATCTAATAATTTGCTCAAACACATACATACACAGAACAACAATAATAGACTAAATTGGACTTGAGATTTTTGGGACCCTGTGCGAAACTTAAACCGAGACTCACATAATCTAACACAAACTTATATAGTGGCATACAACAATTTTATTTTTTAAGTAAAAAATCATCATCAATTAGCATGCAAATCACAAATCAAATTTATAAAATTTTTGACATTTCAACTTGAGAAACTTAAATACTAATATGTTCAGTATAAAGACTAAGTTTTCCTTTCAGTGCTCGTTAATTATATAAAGACTTGTATATAGTATAGGTTAGATATATAAAGACTTGTAAACAATTAGCATGATGAGACAAATCAAGTAGATTGAAATTTAGATATATACCTGAATTTAAATTGAGATTTCAATTTGACTATTTGATTTTGAGTGCCCTTTATAATATTTTTTTTTCCCTTAGCCCTTTATGAATTTAGGAGTTAGTGTTTTCGATTTTTGATATTGGAAAAAATAAAAGGGAGTTTCACTAAAACACCCAAAATGGGAGCTGAAATTATAAAAAAACCCAACACCCAAAACACTTTATAAACACACCCAAAACCCATTATTACACACTCAAAACCTATTTATAAATACACCCAAAAAATATACAATTGTTGACTTTGGGGTTGATTTTGGGTGTGTTTCTATGTTTAAATAGTGTTTGGGTTTTTTTATAAATACATGTCTAGGATTGGGTTTATTTATAAATTTGTAAAAATAAAATTAAAGGATTGAAAAAAAAAAAAAAAAGCCGAAGCGAAAAAAAACAAAACCAAGGTAGAACTGTAATCATTGAAGTACGTACAAGTGGGCCTCGAACCCACGCCAAAAATAGAAGTTAAAGTGCAGCAAACCAAGGTTGCCAAGCCCATCATGTGTAATTGTCCTACGCGGATTTTATATATACAATATGTAACATATTAATATATATAACATATACGTTAAAAAAAAAGTAAAATTGGAGGCACAAAGAACTAACGTAGAACGGAAATTAGAGAAATGAAAAAGCATTTGTGGATCTACGGCAATCAATTACAATTCACTTTCTGAAAACGAATTCGTAAATCACTTTCCGAAATTTCATATGTAATACCTTGATCCTTGATTTTAATACTTAGAATTAGTAAATAAATCCTCATAGTCAATAGAACTAAATTTAAGTAACACGCATGCATCATACCTCCATCTAGAGGCGGACAAAAACATTGTTGTCACCGGTGAACAAAGGCGGCTTTACTCCAGTGATTGGCTTGGAGTTGGAAATTCGGATACACTCCAATTCGGATACATTATTTATATAAATGGCTTGGATACTTTTCTTTTGGTGGACCAGTTGACTTGGAGTTTTCCTTGATGACTTGCTCGCTATAGAAACGGGCTAGAAGAAGGGTAAAGGCACAAAGCAAAAATCTAGTGACATACAGTTTCAGTTTTATTAATATTAATTTTTTATGAAAAAAAAGTACAAAGCTCAACTCAAACAACTAAACGAAACATCAAGGTGAATTGATCTCTAGACAACAGTAAACATAAACTTGATTTAAAAGTTAGCATAACCAAATAAGAAAAGTACCTATAAGGTGAAGGAAAAAAAAGGGAAGAAGTCGACTCTTTGGCCATGTTTGCCTTGTTGGAGATTTATGCACTACATCTTGGTAATGCTTCATCTTCCACGCCTCAACAAGTTTATATAATAAAAAACTAGATCAATTATTAAGCTAGTTTACATGCCTCAACACGTCGTTAATCTTGTCTTGTAAGACAGTCTGGCACACTCACCAGCCCCAGATTAGATATCGCTTTTCTAATATAGTGTCCATTTGTCACTTTAAAATATAGTGTCCCTGTTATGCATCTTAAAATTGACCTGGAGTTTGCCTTGAAGACTTACTCAGCATATAAACTGGGCAGAAGAAAGGGAACACCACAACACAAACAATCATCCTGCAATCAGTTCTTCTTCATAAACACTGCTTTCAACCATTTTCTAAAGCTCAAAATAATGGCTGATGCGCTCATTTCCATGCTGCTGGAACGGTTGGCCTCGTCAACCTATGAATACATAGAAGGAGAGCTGAAACATGTTTTGAACGTTAAGGAAGATGTTGAGAAATTCACTCGGACTCTCCGAGTTATTCAATATGTGCTTGAGGATGCAGAGCAAAGGCAAGTGACGGAGGCCAGCGTGAGAGACTGGTTGGATGAACTGAAAGAAATATCCTATGAGATGGTGGATGTGCTGGATGAGTGGAACACTGACATTCTGAGACAACAAGTTGAGAAGCAAGAAAGAGAAGGTGATCCAAATGCTCTTGTTACAAAGAAGAAGGTACGTTTCTCTAGTTTCTCCCGTTGCTTTTGTTTTGACAACGTCAGTCGGGTGATTCTTCCCCGTGACATTGCTCTGAAAATAAAAGATCTGAATGATAAGTTAACTAAGATTTATGAGGAAAGAAAAAAGTACCAGTTTCTACGCAAAGAATTAGGCATTCAAGAACCTCAACAACCTCAACGACCTCAAACTGCATCTTATGTCAATATGTCTGAGATATTTGGTCGTGAAAAGGAACATCATATTTTGATTAGAAAGTTGTTGGGTGATAGTAGTGAAGAAGAAAAGGGGCTCCTTCTCATCCCTATTGTAGGGATGGGAGGCATGGGAAAGACAACTCTGACCCAACTAGCCTATAATGATGACCGAGTCAAATCCCATTTTGATACGAGGAAATGGGTTTGTGTTTCAGACCCTTTTGATGAGATTAAGATTGCCAAAGCCATTAGTGGCGATTACGCCCCAAGTTCAAATGAATTGGATGAGGTCTTGCAATGTATGTCTAGATCCATCCAGGGCAAAAGGTTTCTCCTTGTCTTGGATGATGTATGGACCGATGATCCTAAAAAGTGGGAACAATTAAAGGTACCATTAATCCAAAGTGGTGCTGAAGGCAGCAGAATATTGGTGACCACAAGAAAACTAGAGGTTGCTAATATGATGAGAGCAACACCAAACATGATCAATCTGGAAGGGTTGAGTGATGAATATTGTTTGGCAATCTTCAATCATATGGCCTTTTCTGATGGGGATGTAGATGTGGCATTTGGAGATTTAAGTGAGAAAATTGTAAGGAAGTGTAAGGGTTTGCCTCTTGCTGCAAAGACTTTAGGTAGTCTCATGCAGAATAAGAGAAGAATGAGAGAATGGAATGATGTTTTGAATAGTAAGATATGGGATCTAGAGAAGGTCGAGCAAGAAGTTTTCCAACCCCTATTCCTGAGTTATTATGATTTGTCCCCAACAATTAAATGTTGCCTTTTATATTGTGCTACTTTTCCTAAAGATTATGACTTAGGACGAGATGTTTTGATTAAACTTTGGATGGCACAAGGCTATGTTATTTCAAAAGGGAATAAAGAAAAGGGAACAACGGGTGATGCAGTTTTTGACAACTTAGTGGCCCGATCATTTTTCCAAGATTTTGAGAAAGATACGTATACTGGTACAATTACATATTGCAAAATGCATGATATTGTGCATGACTTTGTGCAATTTCTCACCAAGAATGAGTGTTTGATTATGAATCACGCAGAGTGTGCTACTAGTGAATCAAAGTTATTGGGTGATAAGGTTCGTCATTTGACCTTGAGATATGTTCCTGAAGGTCCACTTGCTATCTCATCCTACAATTGGAAAAAAATTCGCACGCTTGCAACTTTTAATTCAAGAATTACTACAATAGACCAAAATTTAATTTTACAATTGAAATGTCTTTGGACATTAAATTTGAGTGGTAATTCCATCAAAGAACTCTCAGAGAAGATTGGTGAATTGATACATTTGAGGTATATTGATTTGTCTGAAAATGATGATTTGGAGAAATTACCGGACGCTATTTGTGGTTTGTACAATTTGTCAACCTTGTGCCTTTTGAGGTGCCATGGACTTAAAAAACTGCCTGAAAACATGGGAAACTTGATTAACTTAAAGCATCTTTATGTTGGGTGGTGTGAAGTTCTGGAGTCGCTGCCCAAAGGGATAGGGAGATTAACAAGTTTGCAAACACTAGATGTGTGTCTGTGTGGTGGCGACAATGATGAAGCATTCCAAATTGGGGATCTGAGAAAGTTGGACCTTAAGGAAAGTCTGGAAATACACCTTGCAGGGGATGCGACAGATAAGAGCGAGGTTGAGAAAGCACAATTGTGGGACAAAAAGGTATTTAATCTCACCGTTAGTTTTAAAAGGCAGACGAACAGTAGTAGTAGTGTAGAAATACTGAATGCCTTACGACCGCACCCAGATTTGGAATCTTTAGGGATTTGGTATCATAATGGCACCACGTGGCCCAATTGGATGCAGTCTTTACACAATTTGAGATTCCTTCGTGTTTGTGAGGGGACACAGTGTGAACTTTGGCCTCTCGGGAAATTGGAGTGCCTTGAAATACTGAGCCTATACGAGATGAACGGAGTGAGAAAGGTCGGTGTTGAATTTTTGGGATTAGAAGATCAAACCTCATTCAGAACCAGATCGCCCCAAGTATTATTCCCAAAATTGAAACAACTCGACTTTCACCACATGTCGAATTGGGAAGAGTGGGAAGGCGTGGAAGAGTGGACGAAAGAGGATTCTGAAATTATAATCATGCCATGCCTTTCTAAGTTAACAATTCACTACTGCGGATTGCTAAAAGCACTGCCAGACTTTCTCTTCAAACCACCACTGCAGACTCTTTCCATCCATAGATCTGACAGACTTATAGAGCGTTACAAAGAAGGCAATTGAGAGTGGGCCAAGATTTCTGCTACGATCCCAAACATCCACATTTTCAGGTAATTGAGCTCTAGCAATCTCTTATTTACACACATATGTATGAATTCCAACTATCATCATATTTGTTTCGTTCAAAATCTTCAGAGAATGGTGACTCGCTAGGCACATTTATGAAAACATCTGTCTCGGCGGCATATATAATCTTCAGATGGTGACTCGTTAAGTAATTGTTCGCATATATCATGATTTTTCTATGAAGAGGATTTTTCAAATGAGTATGAAAGGTGCTTTGATTTTTCTATGGAGTTAATTTTCAACTAGCTAGTATTAATAAATTCATTTACTTGTTATGCCACACGAGGTTTCTTGTTTTGTTTTCAATTAGGTAGTATTAATAATTTTCAATTTGTTTTGTTAAATCTCTGGATTTTTCACAAGAGGTTTGTTGTTTTGTTTAATCTGCATGCTTTAGTTGTTTCTCAAAAAATTTAATTCCCTCTAAGAGAAATGTGTCATCAAAATTTGGGAATGATTTATTGGCTCTGCCTTGATAAAATGTATAAATTATTATAAGAAGACCCAAGTAATTAACGGTTGTTGTTTAGACACACTTGAAAGAATAGCAAGTACATATTTGAGAGCCTAAAAGTGTGATTAGGTAAGGCTCTCTCTATAACTGGACAAGCAGTTTCTACTCTTTCCTTCATTTTAATACCGTTCATCATTTCAGGGACTCTATGGAAGCAGCGAACGGAGTGGTGTAAACCATCAAAGTCAGCCTACGGAAGTTCCAATAACTGAAATTTTGATAATTTTCATCAAAAGTCAGCCTTGAGAACTTGACAGAGACATGATGAATTTCGAAGGTCTACTGAGCTTTTGATTTACAAACATACCTTATTTTTGTTTACTAAGCAGAAACTTTGTGAACACCGACTGTATATATAACTAATCTACTGGTGTACCGTGTATTCGTAAAATGTACTATGAGGAACTGATGAATTTGGGTTTGCAATTTACCTTGGCTTTCTCTTGGTTTATTGTATATCAGTTCCCAATTTATTCTGGACCATTGGATCAAATAATTCAAATCTAACCGTCCAACAAGTTGATGTATCGATACTTTGATGTATATTAGAATTTTCGCTCAAATGAAGGTCAAGAAAGGCAGCAGCATCCTGATTCCTAGGTTTTTAGCCTCACATGAGTAGGCCTCATCATTTGGCATGCGGGCTCATGGGCCGATGGGGGCCTATCCGGCCCATCGAAAAAAAGCCTGGCCTGTTATGGGCTTTGAGATGGCCCGGCCCGTCTTGGGCTGGGCTAGGCTTGGGCTTGGGTGTTTGAAGCCTGGCCCGACCCATAAGCCCTGCCCGATTAAGCCCAAGAAAGCCCAACCCGGTCTGCCCACAAAAGCCCGGCCCGTTAGGCCAGCATACATATATAATTATGTATAAATAAGAGTTTAGGTTTATGATTTTATTACTTAAATCACATATATAATTTGTTTCATTTCATTCACTTTTCTTTACTCATTCCTAGTTTATAATTGGATGATTAACACATTAATTTGTGTCAATTATTAATTCAACAATTATATATATATAAATAAGATGAACAACATATCACATCACCAAATATAACCATATCACGAAACATAATCGTATCACCAAATATAATCATGCTTTTCTTGAAAACATCACCAAATATTTACATATTTATTCATACAATCCTTTAAAAAAAATATTTGTTTGATACTTATTATTTTTTAAAATTATTTCTTAAAACGTATTACGGTCTAATTATGTAATAACCTCAAAAATAATACTTGGTTTTATTATTTTTGCGGAAAATTTTATTAAGTTGTGTGACTTTATTGGGTGTTTTATGAATTTGGTTTGATGTGAAAATATTGGAATTAAGTGAGTGTAATCTCAAATTTGGACTAAAATGCCCTTATTATTAAGTTTATGATTTTTTTTAATGAAGTAGGCCTGTTTAGGCCCGGCCCGGCCTGATGGGATTTCTCAAGCCCGGCTCATGGGTCAGGCTTGGGCTTTGAATTTTCTAAAGAAACCCAGCCCGACTCGATATTTTCTCTCTCCTCTTTAAAGCTCAACCCAACCCAGCACAAGTCTATTGAATTTGGGCCTGGCTAGCCCAGCCCAGCCCATTGACGAGCCCTACACATGAGTCACATGACTCCTGCCTCCCGAGTCACATGGCCTTTACCAATTTATATTGAAAATACAACTAAATGAGCTTTTTTATATTTTACTTTGTATTAAAAAAGAAAAAGCAAACACAGATTTTGACAGGACCCGTCCCGAATTTCCCAGAACCCGAGACGAACCCTGCGGAGACCCCGGCATCACACCCAAGCCGGGTTCACTCCTTAAATCTATG